TTTGGGTGGAACTAATGATGTAGCGCATGTCAAGAACTTTGGAGACGATGATTCATTCATGAATCAGCTGATAAATGTTTGGAAGCCGCGCATCGTGCGTGATATTGAAGTGCTCCACGACACTGCCCACAAATACGGTGCTCGGACTATACTGCTTACTATTCCAGAAACAGCTTACGAGGCTTGGCCTAATTTTAAAACGCTCTGGATCATGCGTAGAGGAATAAACCAAGACCTGAGAGAATACGCCCGCAGATCACAAGGAAATACGGTGCTGTGTGACCTGGCCCTTAAGCTACCAAGACATTCTATTTCGCCTCAGGCCCAAGCTATCCTGTGGAATGATCATCTGCATCTCACACCTTATGGCTACGACAAAATGGCCGAAATAATCTACCAATGTTTAAAACCATATTTGAGTAAATAATACGTTATGTGCTATCACTTGATAACAAAAAACAATGAGAAAGATTACACTGTATAGGGTCTCCAAGCGACTGAAATGAACTTATTATTTTGGTTCTTTTTTATTTAAGTACTTGCCTGCCGTTTCTTTTTTGATACAAAGGAATATTTAAAATTTTGTCATAACTTTTCACAAAAAGTTGTAAAAATTTTGTATTTAACATACCAATATTTTATATTGTATTATCGTTTTTACACCGCGAAGGCTTAGTTCGGTGATCAGAGTTTGTATTGATTCAAATTTATTAAATCCATGTTTAACTATAGTAAGATGTCAATATATACAATGTTAGTTTGTTTTACAAGTTTCTTACACTTTGTGTTACAAGACGGCAAAATTGCATGCGAAGGAAGCTGCCGGCACTTTCCTCTATCTTCGAACGCAAGCCGTTTTTATTAACTATCCCTGTGACACTACCACCGAAACACAGCCCAAGCTAAGATAGAAAAGGAGAAAGAAATGCCTACTCAATTTTGCGAAACCTTTTTTGTTAGAAGCCATTTCTACTCCTTTTCTTAAACACGCTTTGTACTATGATTTGTGCTATGGTTGTTCACAAATGAAAAGAAAAGTGCGTCAGCCTTGCGTTATCGAGCCACTAAGATTTTTTAGTTGCCAGTTTTGCGGTTTTTGCACTGCCGATTATATTTAAAAATTAATTCTCGGACTCTTTCAATCTAGAGTGCGAAACAGCCCGTATTTTTCTGTAGATAAAGAAAGAGCACTGATATGGTCAAGAGAAAGTCCTAGAGGGAGGGTGAATACAGAGTATTAGAGGGAGGGGAGAGACGGGAGGCGCATTTTTTGTCCCGCCTCACACGACCGTCGTTTGCCTTCGCGTGATGAAAACCCAATTTTGAGAAAAAAAGGAGCTTTTTTCAGTCTAGGTTCTTTCATGAACCTGTTTAAGAAACCGCTGGAGGAGATATTTTGGGAGAGAATAAAGCTATAGATTTGTTAGAGAGATCCCATTTATCGGACATCTTAATACTCTGCTTAAACGTTAATCGACTTTAATAAAGTTATTGGTTTAGAAGAGTGAAAGGAGTGAACTACACCTAGAGACGGAAACATGAGAAATAATGAAACAAGGGAAAAACGTATCATGATTCCATGAAGTTCTTCTCAATATCGCTGACAAATGAACTGTGTTACCTGCACCCATTTGATCCGTGCTCAATAACCATGTAGATCACAAGTCGGAGAATTAGTCAAGCGTCAAGTACCAGAACACACACTCACAGATCATAGCTAATAGATCGACAAACATGAACTTAATTTTCCATTTTAGACTCCTTTTTCTTTATGGCAATCAGCAGATAATTAATTGGACGGCGTTAATCGAACCTGATCTACTTGAAGGTCACACGGTAGAATTTGTTTTCAACGCTTCGAAAAATTGAGCAAACTGGCAATTCTTCAACAACCCTTGAAGTACCGGAGGATTAGTACACTCAACATTCAAGACCTTCATGTTGTCCTCGCCAATGAAAAATCAGTTTTAAACCTGGTCTAATTGAGTGAAAGTGATAAAGCAAAAATTTGTGTTAACTGTGCTCTGTACACGGAAAAAATTGAGAAAAGCAAATGTTTTTCGATACTGGATAAACAAATATGGATATCCAAAGCATTTTACGCTTCGTTTTACGTAGCCATTGGGGCACTATTTCCGTATTTACCAGTGTACTTCAAGCAGCTTAAATTATCCTATCATCAGAATGGAATACTTATTGGGATTCGCCCACTGATCCAGTTTTGTTTTACCCCCATTTGGGGAGCATGCGCGGATAAGTTCTCTAAAAGCAAGGCTATCTTGATGATGTCTGTCTTAGGTTGGTTGGCGTCGAATTTCTTATTGTTGTTAGTTCCCGTTAACAATGATCTTAAACTATGCGATGTTTTGAATCAAGTCCAAGAAGATAGTATTTTATACGGGAAGAATCACACGAGTTCACAAAAGAGTAACTTTCCTTCCCCAACAGGCATTAATAATAAACATGACACTACCCGTGGTGAACATGTGAATAAACAGGAGTTTTTCTCAATGAGGGTATCACCTTATCTTTACACTACCGTGCCATTTTTTCTAATCAATTTACGGGGTTTTCAGAGTGTTTGCATTGCAACACCGCAAGATTTAAACCCAGCGATTGACCATCAAGGAAAGCCAGAGGTGGACATTGGTAATTCTCAACCTTTAAATCAGCAGCCATTTCAGGATATGATTAACAGAATAGATGATAGTGATCAGCGTGTAAGCTGTAACTCTAAAGAGTTCATATATCTCCTTCTTGTGACTGTGATTGGTACCATCATAGCGGCTCCTGCCCAGGCTCTTGCTGATACAGCAACCCTTCAAAGTCTTCATGGCGAAACGCAGAGGTATGGTCGAGTGCGTTTATGGGGATCTTTAGGATGGGGCATTGGTGGTTTTTCCGTTGGTGCTGCAGTTAGCACAAATTATCAGACAAATCATTGTGGCGAGTCTGTGATTGATTACAGTCCGTGCTTTTACGTTTATGCAGCTAGTATGGGCGTGGCTTTTCTCTGCGCGACTCAGCTTGAATTTGATCAAACTCAAGATTCTCCTGTTATACTTGAAACAGATAATTCAAAATCAAACAAAATAATCCGAGGTCTCAAGGTATTCCGTAGCCCTCAGTTTTGTTTTGTTATTTTTATTGCATTTTTTTGTGGATCGGCTACAGGATTTATAGAAACATTTCTGTTCTGGTATCTTCACGAGTTAGGAGGAGGACAAATGTTATTAAGCGTCATAAACGGCCTCAACTGCACTGCCGAAGTCTGCGTATTTTTCGTGACAGACAGACTTCTCAGTTTCCTCGGACATATCAATGTTATTTACTTGGCTTTACTTTGTTATTCCATTCGTTTTATTTATTTTTATTTGATACAAAGCCCTTGGGCTGTTTTACCAGCAGAACTACTCCAGGGAATTACCACCGCGGCCTTATGGTCGTCATGTGTGTCTTTTGTAGGGTTACATCCCGGAGCCTCCAATACTGTCCAAGGTATTTTAAATGGTGTTTATATGGGTCTGGGGTTTGCAACTGGTGGTTTTATGGGTGGGATACTGGTGCATGTTGCTGGGATGAAGTTATCATTTCTTATCTACTCTGTCGCTAGCCTATGTTTACTTCTTATTTTTGTTGTTCTAAACAAAATAAACGTATCTTAAACTAAAGTATATTTTGTGAAGCTCATCAAAACTAAACTGTATAAAATATTTAGGGGCACCCAATGGATCTGTTCCTCAAAATATCTGTTCTTCAGGCAAATTTTTGCTAGCTGGAAGCTTTGGAAGAGGATTGTTGCTGGGAGAAGACAACTCAGTGTGTATTTGCTATTTGTCCGAAACCTCTCCCCCACCCCCTCTACTAAAGGGGCGAATGTTTGCCTATGACCACACCCAAACTGGCCAGTAATGGACATACGTCTACTGGGAAACTTCCCATTAAGTCAGGTTGCAGGTTGTAGCTGCATCTTGCTGGGTCGGAACTCTTCCATCAGTCTTGCTAGGAGTGAGGAACAGATAAATTTTTCCCAGCATCTCCCAAAATGCTTAAAATGGCTTCAGAAACCTTTATTCATGCTTTGTTGTTGTTTTTAGGTCTTTTTCTCAAAATTTCCCGTTGCGGGCCCCTGATTTACAGTGAGTACCAAGAGACGTGTTAGTACTTGATATTCTGAGAGTCTGAGTGTTTTTTTATTAAGCCCAAATCAAGCTTGCTGTTTTAAACAAATGGAGCTTTTCGACAGTGTCGTTACTCTGAACCACTACTGTACATCACTTAGTTAGGCCAGGGCCAAACGTCGAACTTTTCATGAGACGAACCAAACTCTAATTTGGGTCGACCTAAATAAAGCTGAGATCGTCTGTTGGATCAGACGTTAAACTTAGGAAGCGTCGAACTAATCACGCTGAATTAGGCCAAAAAGGAATTTTTAGACTTTCTCCCGAACGAGGCTAAATATACATACATTATAATACTTTTTCTTTTTTTTTAAAATTTATTAGTTTTGTTCGTAGCATATGAAGATTGACGTTTGTCCCTTAACTGAGCCAGACGTCGAACTTTTCATGAACGTAACTCACTAAGTTTGGTTCGTCTCTTGAAGAGTTCGACGTTTGGCCTGGGCCTTATCCTTGGGTGAAACCGTAAATAATATTAGTCATTTTGCCTGATAAAAAGTTAAAGAAAACGTACAAAATATGCTGCACTATTACAAGCTAAAATTCTGTAATCCCGGTTTGACAGTTCTTTTTTAATTCCTTGATGTGAAAAGAACGTGCAGGATCTAAGATGAAATTTCTTGAAAATGAAAAAAGAGGGCATTGTTATGTCGCCCCGGTGAGCCTGCTCGCAGGCTACTTCGGATGATCCAGCATATCAAATTAAAATAAAACAGGGGAATGAAGTCACTCCTCTTTTAAAAACTTATTGCGTGAAAAAGGCAAAGACAATACGGAAATGAAACCAGGCAAACGGTCCATGCTTTACCGAATCTTTTATTATTTTTCTGATTCTTTAAAAGTTTTGTTGACCAGGAAGTATTGTGTCAACACTAAAAAGCCAAAAGCACCAAATATGAAAAATGTTGTTTGAGCTCCAACAGAACTGAATAAAAAGCCGCCAACCACTCGGCCCAGTCCATGGCCTATGCCGTGGTACGTACCATGCAGCATCCCTGTAAAGAACGAAGATATATTTGCACGCACTCGTTAGTGGAATCTATACCCATGGTATAAATAACGAGTTCATTAGCACGTTAAGATTGAAAGGCCGCAAACGTTTACGTAACGCTTACGTTACCTCGTTGATCCACGTAAGCCGGACAAGTTAATCCGTTGGAGGATGTCACTCCTGTCAGATGGCGTATGACAAAATTTGGAGCGATGTTGGAACAACAACAGCTACTTCAGTGAACGTTTTCGAATTTTAAGGCCACAGGTCTATATGCAACAAGAATGAGAGGCCATGCAGTGGCGAAGCTCCCCTAGAATATGTTTAAGTTTCCTGCGTTTTCCGAGGAATACTTTCTCTCTGAATAAGTTAGTTGTTTATTTTATCTATCTTACCTATTTTATCTCTAGCGTTATGGAATAATTAAAGGATAAAGGAAATTCCCAAACGGAGACACCAATATAATGCGAAAAATTAATCAGTCACCCCGATTTGATGATAAAAATGTTTTCAGGGAAATAAATTTCCAGATTTCAGCTGTACGCATGGGCGTATGTGCGCATATGGACCCTTCTGCCATGGGAGTAGCTGAAAATCTTTTGTTTATGAGGCCCAGCTTTGTGGTTGTCATTGCAAGAGAATAGCCATAACTTCCCAAACGTTTACGTTCGTGATTTAATGACAGGAGAGTTGCTTCATGGCTGACTGAGATTGGTAAATAGACCTTACTCACGATACCCGCAATCTTCGTATGTCACGTGGTTTCCCGTGGGGGCAAACAAGTGATAAAATCTGCTAATACGAGAAATGGCGGTCGAGTTTTTTACTCTAGACAACAGAAAATTAAAAACTTCTTATCTTAAAGACGATAATGGCAAATTATGAAATGAAGAGATCATTGTTACTCTTTTAGATGCAGTAGCTACCGTAGATATTCTCAGAGCAAGCAATAATGAAGTAAAACTTGTCGAAACTCGAACCGTAAATTTTGCATGACGATCATTCCGTTTTGCGAGAATGAACAAACTCGACCGCGATTACTCGTATTGGTATTTTTTTTCTTTTGTTTGTCCCCTGAAATATCACGTGACATTGCTTTTATGCCATCAGTCCCGTAAAGGTCGTCCAAAGATGGCGGGTATCGTGAATACGGTCTACCGTCGAAACGTCATCTAACGTTTTTACTGTGAAAATACTATAAAGTATTATCATTATTCTTTCTTGTCGCAACGAATAGTTGAGAAAGTAACTGATTATCATCGAAAGGAAGGCTTCAAGGGACAACGCCTCTCATATAAATGACTGACAAACTGTTGAACAAAGTTTTGCGTGGTGGGTCGTATTATGAAAAATATACTAAACTCTTACCTTGTAGCGTGGCAGGAGCTCCCTCCACGGTGTGATAACCAATATACGCCACAAATCCTGCCCAGGCTCCAGCAGAAGTCAGCCCGGACAAAAACTCGAGGGGGAGAAAATACCATGGACTGGTAATAAACGCATAACAGGACAGCCGTGCAACGTAGACTACTAGAACGAGGTAGATAAGATTTTGGAGTCCAATCTTAGTGATGACACGGGGAGATATGGTGTACACTATGAAATCGGCGATACATCGTACCACAGGGATGATACTAAATAGTATTTGTGGAGCGAGACAGTCTTCCAAATGCCAGAAAAAGAAACCCATAATCATACCAAAAGTCATTCCACAATACAGAACAGTTACAAAGAATGCTATATAATGAGGCTCGCCCAGAGTCCGGATTGCAGCATAAAGGCCACTTTGCTTTACTCTGTTGGTTTTGCTATCGTTAACAGTATCCTTATTCATATCAAAATCGAGTTGCAAACCTGTAAAAAGCGCGAGCAACTTCAATGTTATTGACCCGTAGAAGCACAAGCTATAGTCGATCCTTGCTTTTTGCCCAGGTATAAAGGGACAGAGGTATTTGTCACTAACCAGCGCTCCAAACGAAAATGCCGCAAGCCCCCAACCTATAGAGGCCCACTTCTTTTGCTTGCCGTATTTGTGTACATCGTTATTTTCTCTTAAAAGCCCAACAGCTGCGGCGTCACCGAGTGCGAGGCTTGGGCACGACAAAATAGTACCAAATAAACTGACAAAAAACAAGTACAAAAATGCATTAAATGTTTTCTCATTGCCTTGCTGATTGATAGTAAGTGTCACCAGGTTTTCCTCTTTATCCTCAATATTAACGGGCCATCTATTGATCTTCTCCGATTGTGCGATTGTTTGAAACATCCTAGAAAAAATAGAGTGATTTAGACCTATCGCTATCTCACGTCGGCTATCCTTGCCGATTTCAACATTGCAGGAAGGCATTGGAGTCAATAGATAAGCTATTCCAACAGCAGTCAGGGCTACGAAAGATATAGTAAATATCAGCTTCCCTTTTTTGAACTTGTCAGCTATAGCTCCCCACATCGGGGTGAATAAAAATGATATGAATGGTTGAACACCAGATATTATTCCCACCTTCTTGGCAGGTATGCCAAGTACTTTATAAAACAAAGGCTGATATGGTAACAAAGCCCCAAGTCCAGCAAAATAAAAGAAATAAAACATTTTGGTAATGAGGTATTTGCGGTTTATGGTGCAGCAGTGGTCAGAGGAGCTTAATTCATCATCAAGCTGACTATGCTGCCTTGTTATGCCGCGGCGTGTGTCTTTGCTTTTGTCTTCTTCCATATCCGTATCAGGTTAGTTGTTTGCTATTTTCTTTATATTTTACTCCCTCTGGCTATACGTCTGGATAGACCAACCTTAAATATGACAAAAAACAATTAGTCAAAGTACTGTCTCCATCCTTGTTAAAAATAATAGGTTAGTTTTCTTGCCCTTGTCCGTGATTCTTACATCATGTAGCACTTTCTACGAGAGTGAGATCCGTTCTTAAATCAATTTATCCTGGATAATCATACTTCCCGGCGTTTTTTCTGCCCAGGTTGAGCGAGTCAAGGCTAATTGATAAAGAGGCAATTTCAATGTTTCGCATGTTATTAGCATACGACAAAGCCTAAACCCTTGTTCTCCGTATTCCCAGGAAGCAGCGCCTGAAACAGGCTATAACCTCCCGACTGGGGCGGGTCAGGTAAACGTTCGGTCCGGCAATCTCAAAGACGCCCTGTGTGGACTGAATATGGTCTTAGCACAAACGGGTTATACTACGTTGATCTACGTTAAAGGGAAATTGTTCCCTTTTTAAATTTCTTTTTAAAAATGTATACAACTCATATCGGATTGAGCGAGCAAGAACCTCGAAAAAAAAAAAAAATAACCGCAGCAGGAGTAGAAACAATAAGACATCCGAGACGAAACGTGTCCTTGCGACTGTTAAAATGCCGTAAACTGGAACAAATCTTCGAAACAGTTGTCATTGCTTCGACACTCGCAGTTTTAAAAAGATTGACGGGATTATTCTTTTTGAGAAAGGGAAGGCTTCAAAAAATCTATTTTCATGTTAGCCGATAAAGCGGACTAGGGAAGCCAGAAGGAAACGTGATGTTGGTGACTCAAAAAAAAGCCAATAATCTAACAGTTCCTCAAACAGTCAAGGAGGCAAACTTTCCTCTTTTCTTTATTGTTCAATGCACAGAAAGAATAGATTCAATGTTACTGTGAGTCTGTTCAGTGATACACCACAGAAGGCATCATCAAAATCTGTTAAGACTAACATCAGCCACGCAATCGCCTGCGGCCTCACATGACTCCTTTCCCAGAAACGGTGAGTGAACTAATTTTTTTGTTCGTACGCCATTTTGACGTCGTGAATCAATGAACACACGCATGGCAACATGGGATCTCATCTCGTTGGTGGAACATCATCGTCCGAATGAGTGTAGTCCTGAATAGGACTGTTGTTGAGAGTCAGTACTGACGTCATTTGATGGTATTTAACTCTGGTTATTGACCTGATTGGTCTATTAAGATTGGTCAAGTCAAGATGTTATTGGTTGTCTGTCAATTAACTAATATTAGTTATGGGCATCCGACAGTCTTCAGAGACTATGGCTGTTTCCACTGATTGAGGTGGACTTCACAGCGGGTCTTCTGTGGCTGCACAGTCCAATGCGAGAGAAGCACTCTCTGGGGTTTCTCTCTGTTTCCTGCGCTGTCTCTCATCTAGTATTGTACAAGATCAAATGCAGCGACTGCCGCGGGCCATTTTTGTTGGTCAGACCGGCAGAAACCTAATGCGCGTCTTCATCGCTTTGGTTGCCAATAAACTCAGCAGCGATTCCTAATGATTTGTATTTCCAATGATCTTGCATCAGCGAAGTTAGGAGTGAATTTACAACATAAATGGACTTGAAAGTTGTCTCTTTCATGATGGCTGTTAAGAACCATCGGTGCAGACTGGAAAACAACTGACAATCCAGATTTGTTGATACGGTGGAAATCGACGAATGACCATGTTGATGATAAATGGGTAGAAATTTGGAACAAATGAGAAACCTGGCTCACGGTCTTCAATCTGACTTTTCTGACTCTTTCCTCTGCTCTGCCTTGTTTTTCCCTTTTTTTTCCTATTTCTTTATTTAACCTTGGGGAGCCACAGGCCGACCATCCGAACTGTTCAAGGCATTGTGATGTCACGCGCGTCACTGATGTGATCTCATATATTTACTATATTCGTAACGGCCGTCTCGGCTTGATTCAAGTGATCTAAAGAAATGCTTCACAAAACACAGTAGTTTGCATCTTTTGATCCCAAATGTTAATGTCGTGTAAGAAAGATAAATAAATGTAAAGGTGAAAAAAAGTGCTTGTCTGTTAAACTTGATCGTCGCCGTCGGAGTTGCT